GGAATGCGAATGGATTATTAAAACATGCTTTAGAACTAGAAGCTTTCTTATACAATGAAAACATTGATATTGCTTTAATATTTGAAACTTACTTTACTAATGAAAATTTTATAAATATAAAAGGCTATATTTGTACAAAAGATTACCACTCCGTACATCCTGAAAATAAAGCTAGAGGGGGTGCATCTATTATTATTAAAAATAACATTAAACACTGTGTGGAGCCAAAAATAGAAATAAACATTATGCAAGTTACATCAGTTAGAATAGAATTAAACAACAAGGAGTTTAAAATCTCGGCTATCTATTGTCCGCCTAGACACAACCTCAAAATAGAATATAGAACTTTACTTGAGAGCTTGGGTAACAATTTCATTGTGGGTGGAGATTTTAATGCTAAGAACACCTTTTGGGGTTCGAACGTAACCACACCCAAGGGCAGGGCCCTGTTGGAAGCTGCAAATCAATTGAAATGTAAATTTGTATCATCTGGAAAACCCACATATTAGATCCACTCCGTACTCCTGATCTCATAGATTTTTTCATTACGAGGGGCGTTGCTAGTGGATACACCCATGTTGATGAAAACTTTGATTTAACATCAGATCACTCTCCTACCATCCTGACTGTAAGTGAAACAATTATACTAAAAAACGAGTCATTGCAGCTATCAAATAAAACCACGAACTGGTGTGGATTCCGAGATGAACTATGTCACAGTATTAACTTGAACACTTCCTTAAGAACAGCAAAGCAATTAGAAGAAGAAGCCAATAATTTTATTATAAATGTACAAAACGCAGTGTGGAATAACACGTCAAGATATAAACCAAACACTTACCGTAATTTATATCCTATGGAAATTAGAAAATTAATTAAAGAAAAAAGAAAAGCTCGCAAAAGGTGGCAAGTGTCTCGTTATCCTCCGGACAAAACCAGAATGAACCAATTGGGTAATAAGCTTAAGAAACTTCTGCGTGAGGCCAAAAACGAATCCATCAAAAACAGGTTGAGTAATTTAACAGCGGAGAAAGATTCCGGTTATTCATTGTGGAAAATCACCAAAAATATAAAAAACCCCAGACTTCAAATACCTCCCTTAAGGAAAGAAGATAATACATGGGCTATCACAGATCTGGAAAAAGCCTACTCATTTGCGAATTATTTGGAAAATACATTTAAACCTCTCCCGCAGCAGACTACCGATGAAGATTCTTGTGAACGTACAATCCAAGACGTAACACCTGTTAGGAAAATAATAAAAGAATTAAAAAATGAAATTGCTAGAATAGATGGCAAAAAGGCTCCGGGTTTCGATCTCATAACTGGCACTGTAATAAAAGAACTGCCACTTATTGCACTGAAAATGTTATTATATTTGTTTAACACAGTAATAAGAATTCAATACTTTCCTGAAATATGGAAAGTTGCTGAGGTGATGATGGTACCAAAACCAGGAAAACCTATAAACCAAATGAAATCCTATAGACCTATATCACTCCTTTCTATTATATCTAAGGTTCTAGAAAGATTGTTGCTAACTCGTATCATGCCCACTATCGAAGAGAAGCATCTAATTCCTAGTCACCAGTTCGAGTTTAGAAGCAGTCACTCAACAATAGACCAAGTACATAGGATCACAAATATTATTGAAAATTCGCTGGAAAATAAACAACTTTGCTCGGGTGTGTTCTTGGATGTTGCCCAGGCGTTTGATAAGGTGTGGGCCTTATCTATAAATTACAAGTCCTACCAAGTAGGATATGTGCAATATTGGAATCCTACTTAAAAATAGAACGTTCAGAGTTAAGCAAAAAGATGAATATTCGGATCTAAAGGCTATTGAAGCAGGTGTACCTCAGGGTAGCGTACTGGGCCCTGTTATTTTCTTGTTATACACTCGGGACATTCCTCAGCCACTAATGTCTACTATAGCTACATTTGCAGATGATACGGCAATCTTTGCTCAGGGTAGTATAGTGCAGGAAAGTACAGCGAAAGTTCAGGAGTCATTAAGTGAAATAATATTATGGATGCAAAAATGGAGAATTTTGGTGAATGAAGACAAATCAACCCATGTCAATTTTACGAATCGATCAATCAATAACATCCCAATAGTGCTCAACAACAGGCCTCTACCGTATGCCAATGAAGCGAAATATTTAGGCATGACCCTGGATGCAAAATTCCGTTGGAAAGAGCATATCAAAAAGAAAAAAGACCAGCTAAACATTACAATTAAAAAACTAAACTGGCTACTGGGTAGATATTCAGAAATTAATGTTTAAATCCAGAATAGGGTCTTACGCAACATAGTTAGGGCCCCATGGTATGTGAGAAATAGTACTATTCACAGGGATCTAAACATGAACACCGTAGAAGAAGAAATTAAAAAACACTCAACAAATCATAAAAATAGAATTCAACATCATCAGAATCGTGAAATGCTTGAAATATCAAGTAATAATGAAACTCGACGCATAAGAAGAAGGAGGCCTACCGACCTAATCTAAAGAAATAAGAGAGTATACAGATCTTTGGGGTACCATCAATGGATAGTTTTTTCCCCACTCAACAAACAAGTTAAAAAATAATTGCTCGTTAAGTTCAAGTAGAACTTAGTTGCAATAAACAACGTTTTAAAAACAAAAAAAAAAAATAAATTTGATTAGGAAAAAGTAGCATCGACAAATTAAATCATCATTGACATTGTTCAATATTGACAGTGAACAGTTTTATTAAGAAAGTATTATCATTGGTAAAATACCGAAAAAATAGTTGCAATGTTGTCATTCTTGTTGTAACTTGCATATTAACGTATGTTAATAGATTTTTGGTTTTTTGTTGCGTTGATGGGGAAACAAAAGAGTGGTATAGGAAATGGAAAATTAAGTAAATTTCAGAACTTCAAAATTTATGTAAAAAGTTGAAATTTTTACTAAAATTTACATTAGAGTATAAATATATAAGTGTTTAGTTTTTGACATAAGAAAACTTGTATTTTTCAACCATGGTTTAATTTCTAAAACTAAACATGTTATCAATTTTATCCTTTTTTGCTTATATTTTTTTCCCATTTTTTTGAAAATTTGGTTCTTTAATTTTTTCATGGTTTGGCGATGCTGAATTCAAGGTATAAACTCAGCTAAAAATATGCGATATTGTAATGATATCGTACAATAAGATAAAATCTACGATAAACCAAAATAAAAATCTGCCGATCGGTGCTGGAAATTTTCGCAAAAAAATTATTTGTAGATGAGAACAAATTAATTTACCATTATTTGCAGATTTTTAGGTAAGGGGAATAAAACACTATGAAAAAGTCATCGTGTAAACACAGGTATTTATGTCAACCATTAATACAAAAGTCTAAAAATTTAAATGTCATTTTTCATTTTATACAGTGAACTAAGATACATATTTCTTTATAGCTTACGATTATACAAACTTAAAGCATGCAATTAAAGAAATCTCATCAGCAAACAATTCCCATCCACTGCAAAAGTAGCTCAGTTATTAAAATATATAAATTAAATAAGTAAACAGTTATTTAAATATATATATAAAAGGAACGGAACTGCAACTTGAGTAAAGTTTTTTAACAATTTTTGAATTTCTTTTAAATATATGTACTATTTAGGTTTTAAAACTAAATATCTCACACAAATAGAATTAATTTAATTGCATAATAAATTGGGGCATAAATATGAAAACGGAGGATCTCATAGAATCTTTTGAATTCTTATTATACATCAGTGCTACTGTCGTTCCAGTATTTTTAATATTCAAATTGTTTGCTTGGATGGGATGGGAGCTGTACGTTAATAATTGAGTATATTCAATAAGATATCAAACTTAGTTTTAATATAATAAAAATTATGAGTAATATAGATTTTGTTTAAATATTTTTTATGACACAAATATTCCACCACATACATCTAGTAATACTTCTCAAAATGATTATTGATGAATGTATCTTTACTTTTATATTCTTTTGACAACTGTGTTTTTAATTTCTGTGAAAGTGAGATCGTTTTCATGCCAACATACAGGAGTACAAGCTTCAATTTCGGTTTAGGAATTACTTGCATATTTCTATAAATTGAATTGCATTTGTAGAAGATAAATTTTTTCTTTCAAATTTTGTTAAAAGTCATAAACTTTGGTTTGGAAAATATAGAGCGAAAGAAAGATATTATTCATTGGGAAAGTGGTAGTGTTGAGTGCTAGTGTAATAAGATTACAAACCGTTCAAGACTCTATAACTAAGTAACGTTGAAATGTATTTAATTTTTGCCAAAGCCAAAAAAACTTAGATATTTTATGTATTTTTCCTCCAATTTTTAGTTTCATTACACTTTTTGATTATACTTGTGATACTCCTGGAAACGTAAGATCCGGCGCAAGTTTTTTATATTCTCAATATCTGATGTTAAAAAGTTTTTAAAAACTTAAAAAAACTTTATAAAGTTTTAATGTATAAAACGTGTGGTGTAATATTTTTTGAGATAAAATGGGAGAAAATGATGACGTTTCGTTTTCTCAATATTTTTTTCAGTTTTGTAAAGTAAAATTTAGTGTTTTAAAAACTTTTAGGTTTTCAAACTTATGCTTTTCTTTATGTATATATTTGTATTGTCTATGTTTGAAATATATTTTGAAATTTGACGTTTTCAAAGTTTTTAAAAGTTATTGCGAGAAGTGGCGATACTGTTTTCTCTTTTTAAAATTTTTCAAGTTTTATACCAAACAGATTTAATGTGCTATAATTGAGTTATGAGTTATTTTTTATTGAGATTTATGTACTTCACTTCACAGGCATTCATGTTATAATATTGAAGTACATATTATTATTCATAGAGATCTATTTCTGCATAGTGTGTTTACTACAAAGAAATAATATACGACACATTGCAATTCTTTCGTAACCAGCGATTTGACATATATTAATAAACAAATTAATAGATATATTCACATCATTGTAATTTGTATTTTACAACACGTGCGAGCCCAAATTTTCCAAATAACAAACTGAATGATCGAAGGAGGAATAATCATATAAAATATGGTGCCAGATGAGATACCCGGTTTTCCTTCACTTTCCAAACAAAGTAGTAACAATGTTGATATAAAGATTGCTAAAAATAAAAACAAAAAAAGCGGTGGCTTTCAATGTATGGGTTTGAGCAAAGATCTTCTAAAAGGAATTGTGAAAAGAGGCTACAAATTACCCACACCAGTGCAAAGGAAAACTATTCCCTTAATACTTGAAGGAAGGGATGTTGTTGCTATGGCTAAGACTGGGTCCGGAAAAACTGCTTGTTTTTTAATACCACTTTTTGAAAAACTAAAACGAAGAGATCCTACAAAAGGAGCCAGAGCTCTTATTTTAACTCCAACTCGTGAATTAGCGATACAAACATACAAGTTTATAAAAGAATTAGGAAAGTTTATGGACTTAAAAACAATATTGGTGTTAGGTGGCGATTCTATGGATTCTCAATTTTCCGCTATACATACTTGTCCGGATATTATAGTGGGAACTCCTGGACGTTTTCTCCATCTTTGTGTCGAAATGGATTTAAAATTAAATTCAATAGAGTACGTAGTGTTTGATGAAGGTGACCATTTATTTGAAAAAGGTTTTGGAGAACAACTTAATGAGATTTTGAATAGATTACCTGAATCAAAACAAATGGTTATGTTTAGTGCTACTTTACCAAAGCTTCTTATAGATTTTGCTAAAGCTGGCTTAACTGATCCTGTTTTAATAAGATTAGATGTTGACACGAAACTACCAGAAGGTTTAGTTTTAAAATTTTTATTTTGTAGACCTAATGAACGGTACACCATTTTGGTGGCGTTATTGAAGTATATCATTCCAGCAGATGCTCAAACGGTCGTTTTTGTCGGTACTCAACATCATGTAGAGTTGATATCATTAATTTTAGATCAAGCAAAGATATCGAATACTTCAGTATATTCAAGTTTAGATCCAGCGGCACGTAAAATTAATACAGCAAAATTTGTTCATAAAAAAGTGTCAGTGTTAATCGTGACCGATATAGCAGCAAGAGGAATTGACATACCCAATTTAGATTTTGTTGTTAACTTACATTTTCCTGGGAAACCCAAATTATTTATACATCGCGTCGGTAGATGCGCAAGAGCAGGTAGACAGGGAACTGCCTTTTCAATATTTTCTACGGATGACGAAGCACATTTGGTTGATTTACATTTGTTTTTAAATAGGCAACTTGACTTAACAGATGCCAACACAATAGGTTTGATTCCTCAAGACATATTAGAAGAAGAACATTTAAGTATATTTAATTTTTTGAAAACGCATCATGCTGCAAGCATTTACAAAACTAGTGAAAATGCTTATAAAAAATACATAAGCACTAGGCCAGTAGCTTCTGCTGATTCCAACAAAAGGGTGAAATTAATGAAATTCTATAATTTAAAAGTTTTACAAGATTTTAAAAATCTTTCATTAATGAAAGGTAGCACCACAGAAAGTTCATTGAGTGACTTAGTTTTAAAACATAAAATTATTGATAGGTATGTAATATATAGTAACAAGAATCCTTATTTAATTTATTAATTAATATTTTTTACAAAAATTTTAAGACCTGAGCTCGAGGAACAAAGAAACGAATTTTTAGTAAATATGAAGAAATTTAGACCACCAGGTACAATTTTTGAATTGAATTGTACAAAAAAATCAATTCCCTATGAAATTATGAAAGAAAAGCGATTGAAGCATTCAGATATAATCGCTAAGTTTCGAAATAAACTTGAAAAATTGGATCAAGAAGAAGAAGAAAAACAACTAAGAAAAACCCACGATGAAATAAACTCATATGATGAGAATGAATTAGAAAGTCATTTCCATAAAGTTGTCAAATCGAAAAAACGAAAAAATCTAAATGATCTTTACAAACCCAAAAAATTAAAACAAAACTTTTTAAAAGATGAAGAAAATTACATTTCTTACCAAGCTCCAGATAAAATTACAGAAGATGGACTTGCGATCAATTCTTTCGGAAGACAAGCCGCTGATGCCGAATTTAGTATATTTGACAAGAAAGAAAGTGAAAGTAAATTCAAGCCTGGTAAAAAACAGTGGGATCGTGTAAAAAAGAAAATGGTTCCGGTGCAAGATCCTAGGGGTGGAAAAATTAGAACTGAATCAGGTATTTGGATACCTTCTAGCTTCAAAACTGGTAAATATACTGAATGGAAAGAAAAAACAAAAATTGAAGAACAAGTGTGTAGAGAAGAAGGAGATAGTGCTCATTTAATGCACAAAAATCGGTATCCGGTCAGCAGACATGCAAGACATAATGCCAAAGTCGAAAGTAAAAAGCTTTCTGGAGGAAATATTGACAAAGAACTTAAAAATCCTGATCAGATTGTAAAAGAAAGAATTAGAATTGAAATAGCTAAAAATAGAGAAAAAATTAATAAATTAAAAAAGGAATCAAATCGTAAGAAGCATGCACAAAAAATGAGATCGAAAAAAAAATAGTAAGCCGTAAGGATAGAACTGCGAACATATCCACGAAATTTTATTCAAATATTTGAATTTTCTTAGATTTTTTGAGTGTTAATTAATTTCCTTATAAATTTTCATCTAAAATATTTTTTAATATTCATTTTAATATTATGTTTTGGCTTTTACTATAATTATGACTTTCGATCGTTTATTCAACAATTTGATACCATGGATCTACTGTGATATTTCTTAGCACCATACTTCTTTTTTTCGTGCAACTCCAAAGTTGGATGACATTATTTCCATATACATAGGTTTATCTGGTTATACAACAGTTTGTTATGCGTATTAAGTTAAGAACACTAGTCAATTAGTCAATCGAGTTTACGATTTTTTTTTTCTTTTTTGCGTGTTCTTTCCATTTTAATATGGCATCTAACGTCATACCACAGCATTTTGGTGTATTAGCGTATGGGATGAGATTGGAGTTTATAAATGTGGTTTTTATACGTAAAATTAATAAGAACTGACTTTTCTTCGTTTAATTTTATTCTCCATCTTTTAGTCCACTGGCTAATTTGATCACTACATCTTGCAACCCCTTTATAGCTTCATCCACAGTTTTATTCGTGGAGAAGACCGCAGTAGCTATTGTGTATCTACCGTTTGTTGGTATATCCCTGATGAAAAGGATATATAAAATAGGTCCAAGCATACTGATTCGAAAATTGAGCGGAAATTTTAAATTTCCAAGAGATTTCACCATAACCATCTTAATCAAAACTTTGCTTGAAATTGAGAGTTAAAGTTTAAATTTAAAAATTTGTTTTTAATATTAATATGATAGCAAACATGAAATAGTAAAATCATAATTTATTCTTTCAAAACAACAAAGATTCAGAAATATTATAACAGTTAAATTAATAGTGAAGGGAAAATATTTTCATGCAGACTTTTAAGAAAAAATTATATATTTTTCCAAGTCTGTTCTTACATGTTATCTCTGGTGGACTTGTACTCAAATTGTAGTTCTTTTATTCAAAAATAACAGCTGCCTCTAATTCTCTTAATTTTGTCTATATTCAAGTAAATTCAATTTTTATGTACACAAGATATGCGCAATGAATACTAATAATTTTGACAGTTCAATAAGAATTCACGCTTGTTACTAGAATTCTTTACAAGTTACTGCAAATTATGTATATACATATGTACATACATATATGGATCTACATATTTTTGTTTTTTAATACAGGTGTTAAAAATAAGGCTGAGAGCTCTCGTTCGTCTTGTTATCCGAATCCTTTTCGCTATAAGTCGAGAGACCTCGACATTGACATGCTCTTCTTAACGCGCCCAGTTTCTAATTTCCTTACTTACTTAAATTTTTGCTTGCGAAATTTACATGTACAGAGTTTCTTTCATTTAATTTTATTTTCCATGCATTTGTCCATTTACTTATTGTTACCTGCTTCCTGTAATTTTTTTGTCCATCCTTCAACATTAGATCCTATTTCTAATAGAGCTGTATCGTCGGTAAATGTAGCCACAGCTGCGCCCTTTAACTCTAGAAAATAGTTTATATAAAGCACGTATAATATAGGAACCAGAATACTGCCTTAAGGCACACCAATCCCAATTTCTTTAAACGTGGAATAGTCCCCGTCCTGTTTGATTCGAAAAAGCCTGTCAGATAAGTATGATACAAGTAACTAAAATTGCAAAGGTACATATCAATTTCTTAAAGAATGCCTAGGCGATGTCCAGAAATATTGTCGAACATATTTACTTTTCTTATAACGCCTTTTCACACAATATTTGCTATTCTGTGTACTTAGTCGATTGTTGCATGCTTTGTTATAAAACCAAACTAACGGTTTTGAATAATTTTCTTATTTTCTATTATCGGCAAACAATTTTTTGAAAAATTTTGATATCATTGGTAGCAGAAAAATAGGACTACATGACTCTGTTTCAGTTGAGTTTCCCTGGTTTTCTTATCATAATAACTTCTGCTACTTCACTAGGAACATACATTGGTGTCACTGCTGCATTTATCACATTTTTCAAAAATGTCAATACCTTTCTCGACAAGTCTCTTAAAATCGTAGCAGTAATAAGACCAAAACTTGGTGCACTATTTGACTTAACTGACTTATTGCGTGGCAAATTTTTGTATAAAATTTTGATCATCTATTTTTTTTTTGGTGGGGGAATTCGTTTTATCGGTCTCCCATTATTTTTCGTTTCTTTTCACAAGGAATAATTCGTTTCTTTAATTCCCGATAAGTCCGATATATAATTGTTGTATGATACTATTTTAAAATTTTCTATATTCATTTTGAATGTTTAAAAAAGTCTAGAATCTTGTGTTTCCTATTTCAATTACTAATATTTTTCAGAAATCGCTTTAGGGTTTCTAGAAATACGTTAGCTAATCTCATTGAGATTTCGTCAATTCTTTGTAGCATGTATTGCATCATTTGCATTATGCTACTTTCAATTTCTTTTTGCTTAGTGTTCATTCTTTCTTAGGTCTACTTACATAATCTTCTGCAAATTTTTAAGTTTTAGTGACTATGTAACACTGTTTTTTACTTTGTGTAAAAGTATTAAACGTTTTTGGGATATCTTCATGATTACCCGAACGCGTTTAAGCCGATTCCTTTTCATTCTCCGTTTTTGTATTTCTTAGCTACACACCTGGCCTAAAAATTATCGTTTTTATTACATTTATGTCGCCATATGATTACCAGTCCATTTAGCTCCTCTTTGACAAAATCTTTGTGTATGTCCAAACCTTTGGCATCTCTGTCTTCGGCGTAGTCAAAGAACAACATGGAAAAGAGCAATTCTTTAATAGTATTCACGGCATTTTCTTTAACTTTTTTAATTTTATTTAGGACATCTATGCATTTGAATCCCCTTTGAATAAGTTCATAAGTTTCACAAGTTCGACTTAATATCTTGCGATTCACATGATGAATTTCTGACCGTTACTTTATTTGGCCTCGTCAATTTATTTTCATAGGTGCGCCATTATAATTTTGCTTTATTAACAGCTTTAGTTAATTATTTACATTCATTTTCAACATTTATTTTTAGTTGATCATTGTTCATCATGTTGATCTTCACGTCAATACTTTTGTCTTTAAGGATCCTTGTTAACTGCATGTAATTAATTTTGTTACCCACTATCATAGGCGGAGGTTTATGTGTTTTAAGTTGTTCATTTTTCCTTGGTTTAGATTTCTTTACTTTAGTGCTATTAATTTCTAGTGCCAGTTCTTTTTTCTTCCTTGAGTTTCTTTTGGTTTTAAGAATCCCATCGGTTTCTTTATCCACCTCTTTCTCATCTGTATCGTACACTGTCACATCTATTTTGCCTTTCTCGGTGCCATTTGAAACTGTATTTAGCTGTCACAATAATTTTAGATTTTCTGGCTTAAGTTTGCAGATCTCTACCCTCAGCTCCTTACACAGGTTTCCCAAATCGCTTATCGATTATTGATCAACTTTCCAGAGGTTTTACTTTGGTTGTCTTCTTCAAATTTTCTTTCTTTATAAACTTAAGCTCTTGCCAAACGGGTTCATACATTTCGCTAGAGGATCATTTTTCTCCACTGGCGACTTCTTGTTCTTGGCTGAATGTCTTGAACATTCAGCCAAGCACACGCTGATAATGCACATTTCATATCTCATTGTAAGGTATAAGGCCTTTAATCCAGTCAGGTTTTTTTTAACTGTCGTTAAAAAAAAACGACATTGATTTGGATCAGACGCAGACCAAGAAGCCGTCAATTCTGTATCAGACGTACCTGGATTTTGTCCGGATTTTAGTTGACTCGTATAACTGGTGAATATCTATAGTACAGAATATATACCTCATAGTTTTATAATTTTATGAATATTTGATTTTTAATGTTTTTGGAAGATAATACATAGCACATGATATTATATTCTCACATTTTTCTAGTTTTAATTTTTATACCCGCCTACACATCTGCATATTATTATATACAATAGCGGTTTTCGCTCATTGATATATTAGAATAGGGAAAAAAAAACAATTTTCCTGTAAGTAGTGAACGAACGAAAGAGAAATTTTTGATGTAAAGTTGTAAAAACTTGACAATCATGGTTTTTCTTTTGTAGTTCAAAAATATTTAAAAATCATTTATTTTAAATCAACGGTTTCTAAGATACGGATTTTAATTTTAGAAACTTTATTAGTCTTTTCCAATTTTTTACTTGTTTTTATATATTTTATGGAATTTATAAATTTTTTTCTGAAAATTTTCTAAAATTTTTTCAGAATCCCTATGGCAACCGTTGGTATTTGGCGTTCATTTTATTTATAACAGGTATTTCAAATTGACTGATTTGGCTATTGGCTCATCGAAATAGATACATCCCGTATGAGGTTACCTTCAAAAAAATTCCACAAAAATGATCATATGCCGTTGAAATGGCTTCGAAAATTTTTTAAACATAGGTTCCCCAAGGGTCCAGGCCCTGAAAAAAATCTCTTCAAAATTATTTTAATTTGGCCTTGCCTCATATCACATACATAAAGATGATTACTTATCATAAATAAAGATTAGAAAATTTATGTTTAAATTTTTGCTATTACGTTTTTCCATATACATACATAAATATTTATTTATTTATTTATTTATGTATACGAAATGTTTCAGTTTTTGATTTTTGTTATTTAGTTGCAATTTGCATACTTATATTAAAATTTTGGTTGTTTTAAACGACTAGGTTTCTCGAGAAATGTGATATACATATACATATTTATTTTCTTTGCATGGTAGATACCTATTTCAAAAACAAAATGTACAAATTAGTAGGTATATTTAGTAGTTATTATAATTTAGGTTTACTTACAATTCTGTTAAACTAACACTAGAAAATACTGAAACTAGAATTTATTTTTACATATTATGTGTGTACATTGTATGCATAAACGTAGATTTTTTAATGCAACCATTAAGTAGTTTAAGTTAAATAAAAATTATTAACAGTTATTCTAAAAATGATTGTTCCTCTGATGAACCACATATATGTATTTCACGGCCTTTTGCAAATATTACTTCATTCAACAAGGGATGCGTAGTCAATGAATGAATAACAGAATTAGTAGTATTGTTATCTAAAATACAATAAAATTGACAATAATTGTAGCTCTTTAATGTTACTTATGTACATGTATGTATTAATATTGTTTAGTTGATTATTATATGTAGATAAAATTAAATTTATGCAGTGTCGAAAGACATGCATACATAAATTACTATAACATGATGATAAAAAGTTAATTTCACTGTTATTGTTATATTTTCGTAGCTTCTTCAAATGGGATGAAACAAAGGGGCCTACCATTTTTTTATCATTCACACATTTGTGAACCTACCATTCATTTTTGATGTGATAATTAAAAAATAAACTCTTAAAAATAGTTGCAGTGCCCACTCCCACTAAAATTGAAGTCACCACCAATTCCTTTCCAACGAGTCCCTTTCTAGCGCACTAAATATTTTTGTAAAGACGTTATTTGGTGAGGTAGGATGAGTAGATCCACACATCGAAACTTTCATTTTGGACAAAGTTTTATTAACACTTAACTGCAGTATTAATACCGTAGTTTAAATTTTTTCTGTTTCCTTTCTTAATGCGTATTTTAAACCCATTTAACCAAAAGCAATTTAGATCTAGCTACATTATATAAATTTTTCTGTAACATAGTTCACAGATACAGTACAGATGGTAGTTACATCAATACTGCCTTTTGGATGTCGTGGATATCCGTTACACTTTTGTTGTCATTTTTAAAGATAGAAACGTTTTTCGGTTGAGAGAAAGAATATTATAGCAAAGAACCAAAAATTTTTTTTAAAATTTATGTTCGTTGTGTGGAACCCTAAAACTCTTAATGTCAAATTTTTTTTCTTGTTTTTGAGCATGAAATTAACATCATTGACATAAAATGGAAATTTTTACAGTACCTAGCTATTATTCAATTAACAATTTTGAATTTACGATATATGCATGTACCTATTCAAATTGGACCTAACGCATAACAAATCCACTACAGCAACCTGTTTTTTTTAATGCACTTAAAATTTTTGACATCTGTAAGTTTTTAATTGACGCTCCAATTTTTGTTGAAGAACGCATGGGAATGTGAAACAAAAGTTTAAGTGATATATGTCAAAAAAGAAAAAGTATGGACTCTCTTCTCTAGTCGTGAAAAATCTAAATAAACATACAAAAGTTAAATCTTAAAGTTATTTTTAATAATTGAAATAGTTTTGCATGTTACAAATAATATAATGTGGGCAAATTTTAGTGATATAAGATACTAATTAAATAACTAAATTAACGTATATACCTCAAACCATTTCGGTAAGTTGAGGGGGTGAACTTAATTTTTTTCTGTTTTTAAATATTTGCTCTTCATAAAATTTTAAGAATGTAAATAAATATGTATATTAAATTTTATTGATAGAAAATTGAAAAAGGAGAGAATTATTATATAAAATTTATTTTGCATACCTGCAATAATATCATACTTTTTTAACACGTATATTTTTGCAAAACTGACCTACAGTAAGCCGACGAAAAGTACCTACATACTTAATTATATTTTATTAGGATCAATGCAAAAATTTGGAAAGTTTCTTTATTTCAATTATAAGTTTAGTTACCTATACTTTTTTGCTGAGCTTAATTAAATCATTAAAAATGCAAACACCATTAGTAAACTTAATAAAACTAACAAATTATCGAAAATTTATTAAATGTAAAATGTGAGCGCAGGTCATGAACATTGCTTTTAAACAAAATTATAATTATGTACATGCATCTGTACATTTATATTTTTATATATAGATATGTAAGTAGTTGCTAAACTACATTATATTGAAATATAACCCCAAAATAAAGAAGTATTACGAATCTAAATTGTTTTTTTTTTGTTAAATAATTTTATATAAAGTTAATTAAAACCTACCCTTTTAATTTCAGATTAAATATGAAATTAATTTTTTGCCTTATACCAGGCATATTTCTAAACAACGATTGGACAGCATTCATATATTTCAATAAAAAAGAGAATTTAAAGAAATAAAATCAGATTGCGAAAAACAACTGCCAATAAAGCATTAACTTTTTCAAGCACCTACATTGTGTAAAAACAAATTTTGGATAAATTGTTAGGAGCCAAGCTCTGACCCCTTTACCTGATGTTAAAAAATATATTGAGAGGACCATTTTAAGAAGGAATCTTTATTTCAAAAAAAAGTTAAAAATTCGATCAAAAATATATGAAAGTCGCATGAACAAAACTTACTAAACAAAATTTATTTGCGAATATCGATCACAAATCTGTTATAATTCTGTGTTATTACCAACTTAAGAGATTTATTTTAAATATTTGAAAAATTATTTTAAATAAGGAACATTATTTTAATACCATAACAAGCCAAAAACAAGATATTAAATTTAATTTTAAAAATTTGCTAAAATTTTTAAAATTATTAATTGGAAAAAAAACATATTGATTTTTAAAACAAAAGAATGGATGTTAATGGATTATCTATTGGAAACATTCCAAATACTGATACCCCACCTCCAGGCTACATGTCGGAAGATGGAGATCCAATTGATCAAAATGATAATCTTAATTCATCCAGATTAACACCTAGTCCACAGTCTGATGCTCAACCAGTTTTATATCGCGAACCGGCATTTTGGTGTTCAATAAGTTATTATGAACTCAATATAAGAGTTGGAGAAACATTCCATGCTTCACAACCTTCAATTACAGTAGATGGTTTTACAGATCCATCAAATTCCGAAAGATTTTGTTTGGGACTTTTGTCAAACGTTAATCGAAATGAAGTTGTTGAACAAACTCGACGCCATATTGGTAAAGGAGTACGTTTATATTACATAGGTGGTGAAGTTTTTGCGGAATGTTTAAGTGATTCTAGTATATTTGTTCAAAGTCCAAATTGTAACCAAAGATATGGATGGCACCCAGCGACTGTTTGTAAGATACCACCTGGATGTAATTTGAAGATATTCAATAATCAGGAATTTGCGGCGTTATTATCGCAATCCGTATCTCAAGGATTTGAAGCAGTATATCAATTAACACGTATGTGTACGATAAGAATGTCATTTGTTAAAGGATGGGGAGCTGAATATAGAAGACAAACAGTTACATCAACACCCTGTTGGATAGAATTGCATTTAAATGGTCCATTGCAATGGTTGGATCGAGTCTTAACTCAAATGGGATCTCCACGACTTCCATGCAGCTCTATGTCATAAACTTATATTTAAAATAACATAAAAAATGTTTTATGTAATAACTTTTTGTTTTGATTTTAATTTTTATTGTATTTCACAATACAAAAAACAAGAATTGATGATTAGGATTATTGTAATTAAGGAAAAGAAAATAATATATTCTTTTTGAAAAAGAGGATAATTATGAGATAAAGAAGTAGAAATTATATATATTATAACAAGAAATTTGTGTTGTTTTTATAAAAAAAAAAGAGAAATCCATTTTATCTATGTACCTAAGTATGTACATATTACTTGCGTTTACATTTCATTTCTAGCCTTTATAGTTGATAATTACAAAACGTAAACTGATTTTAAGATAAATATAAAGCCCAGCAAAGCGTCTTAAAAGACTTTCATTTTATTTATTAACATTTTGAAATTCAACGTTATCATTAAGTTTAATTTCTTCTTTCGGAATTTGGAAAGAAGCATTTGTACTTTTAAAATGTAATTAATGTTTGTTAAAATTCGTATTGTATTTATCTAATCGCAAAAATGAGAAATTAAATGTAAATTGTTTACCCTCCAGTGATTCTAAAATAATATTCAATTATACATGTATATATTTATACTCCGTTTAAGTATATAAATTAGATTTTAAAATTAAAATAAAGTGTCTAAACACAAGAACATTAGAAAAAATGTTAAAAATTCAAATAATTTTGGTATCTATCACCACTAACGTAATTTTAATTAACTTTCTAAAATATATAAGAACCTTTCCTTTAAGTTCTTATATATTTTAGAAAGTAGTTATAAAGATTCAGTAGTTACTTATTTTAATTATCAAAATATTATTGAAATATTACTTACTGGCTTTTAAATGTTGCAAAATTTTCCCACTAAGTAAATCCCATACGTAAATTAAACCTTCAGATGAACCAGAAATTACATGTTTATCATTTGACATCTTTTCACACTCAATATGATAATCGTCATTTTTTCTTCCTACGTATTCTTGAATTACATTACCAGTTTCGTTATCCACCAAACGAACTCTTCCATCTAAACAACCAGCAATAATGCATTGTCCATCCTTAGTTTCGACAATATAAGTAATAGGAATCCCAATATCATCACAAACTATTTCACCCATTCTTATATCATAACGACGAATGCAACCATCTAAGGAAGCTGTTATAATTTGTGATTCATTTACGATGAGTGATGTAACACAATCTTTAGCGTCTTTCATAGTTTGTATGGGCTCAATTTTTCGAGTACGAATATCCCAACACATTACTGAATTATCTTTTGATCCAGATACGGCAATTGAGGAATCTTCATTGAAACGGACACAATTTACACCACCAGCATGGACACGGCATCGACGTATGGGCTGTCCTGTAGTTACATCCCAATATATTATAGATTTATCTAAACTGGCAGATACAATATGACAGCTATCACAGCTTATTTTATTTAAAAAACAAAAGCTAAAATCAGAGAACTTTTTTAAAAATTCTTTATTTTTATGTTACCTGCCCATTGCATCTGTGACTTCACTTGCATGTCCTCCATAAGTTTTCAGTAATAAAGCTGTTTTAGGGTTCCAAAGTTTAATTTTTCTGTCTGAACCACAAGTTAAACAGTAGATTCCATCAACTGATTCAAAAAAATTAGGTATATTATTTGTTTATCAAAACATTGTTAACAACATAAGTTACCATTGTATCGAACGGCTCTAACAGAACCTTGAACACAATCTATAGTTTTATAGCAAATTAGATTCAAATATCCTTCATTTAGAGCAAAACTCATTTTAGTAACAACAAACTAGAAAAATTTAATTCTTATAGGTTTTAAAATAATGTGTAACTTAAATTTGTTATTTTGAAAATTTAAAGTTTATTTACATTAATATAGAACTATTGAAGTTTAGTAAAAAGGAGCGTTCTTAATTTCTTAAAAATGTCATTATAGTCACTATTGTTGTTATTATGTAAAAACATGGTTTTCTTTAAACAAAAATAATCAACATGTTCATCAACTTATCTAAATTGAACTTGGAGTCCAATGGTAAATGTCAAATTGCAAATAATTTTGAATGTTTGGTTACATGTAATGCTTTGATCGTTCAAATCTTGACATTACAAAAATCAAGACCTCAACTACAGACATCTTTATATATTGTAGGAGTTGACACGGCTGACAAAAATACAGGCTTGGACTCTAACAGAAAGTTACAGTTCACAGTTGACGAATTTAAACGTATTCTAATGGAAGCTATACAGTTTTAAAACATCATAAGTCTCCCACAAGATCAAGTTTTTTCAAATTTTTAATTAGAAATCTAAAAAAGCCTTCCAGGGTCTCTTAATCTTTTTAAGATTTCAATTAATGCTATACTACAAGTAAAAAACAATTGCGCAAATTTTTTTTTCGAATTATTGATTTGATTTTTGTGTATTTGTTTCAAATTTGAGAAAATGTACATTTCGTATTAACAAATTTGCTAATTATGTATGATATGACTCATACATAATTAGTTTGGCTTCACTATGTTTTTTTTTCAAGATTTTTCAATTTTTTAAGGAGTGTTACTTGTCAAGATACAATTTTTTAATTTTAGTAAGTGAGATAGAAATAAAACTGCTCCTTCCTTTAGTATTTCTCTTGACATTATAAAAAATTTCTGTCTGCCGTGGTATTTCTAATTCGTTGATTAATATATAATACGCATGAAAAATATATATGTAGATATATGAATTTTGTTTTTATAGGTGGAATGTGCACTTGGTGGAATGGGTTTCTTGAGTTTTTTTTGTAATCTTTCACAGCCAATAATCAGTTTTTTTATTTGGTGTTAAGTTATTGATGTAATTTTCCATGTTTTGATTTTTAAAATTTAGTATTTTTCTTTTCATCTCTTGTGTCTTTCTATTTAATATATTTTTATCTGCGGGGTCATTTTTATCGTCAACTGCCATCTTTTTATAGCTCTTTCCTTTCACTAATTAATTCTTCTATTTCTTTAGGGTATGTGATGTTATGGTTTAAAATGACAGCAGAATGATCAGAGTTGAAGTCATAACTATATTCTATTGTTATTTTAATTAACTATCAACCATTGTTATAATTAAATGAATAAAAATTCTTCTCTATTCGTATTACTGGCTTTATTTTGGATTTTTAAAAAAAAAACGTCTTAAATTTTATTACATTTTAAAACGAGTTAATTGCAGCAGCACTCAAATTCAGTCAACTCCGTCGTTTTTTTGCTAAGTCGCAAAATTTTATGAGAAATAAGGTTTATTGGTTTATGTTAAATTTATGAAAACGTCAAAACGTTGGCTGGCATTTCTTTGTATTTAACCTAGTTATTAAATAACAACATAAGCATATACTTTTTAAACAAAAGCCAATTTTTTTTTCCTTTTTTTTTATAAAGATGTAGAAACCTTATAACTTAATAACTATCTTTTTTTAGGTTTCTACTTTGAAAGTGCATATTTTTTTATAAACAATTAAAAATGTGTAAGATTGAAGGATTTGATGCGCAGTTTAAAACACAAATAAATGGGAAATCCGTAGAATTTGTTTGTAAGGAATTTGAGAATAAATTGTTCATTATAGTGACTGAGTATACCAATATATGCAATTTGTATACTGTAAAATACGATGAAAAAAATCCTTTAGCTATGGGAGGCATTTCGACAACACCTATATCAATTATACACAATTTTGGAACAGATTCAATTGAAGTGCGTAGCGCTATTGAGTTTTTAGTTAATAAAACAAAATTATGCAGCTACGATAAGGAAATTTTAGTCAACATTGGTTTAAAAACCATAAATGGACCAATTTTGAAGGAAATAGCTGTGGTTGTGGATAAATATTTGCTTCAATAAAAACTTTAACATAATATTGAGTTTCATTTACATTTTGAAGTACCTCTTAAAATAATTAATAAGTATGGGGATTTCTGAAAATCACTTCTAACTTAGATCTTGAATATTTACTACAAAAACACGTTTGAAAATTGTAGCATGGTCAAATATTTTTAGAATTTTTTTTTATATACGTGGTATATAATTTGAAAATGTAAGATGTAAAATTTGTAAAAGTTTTTGCAGATTTTTTGTAATACAAAACAAATTTTTAAGATTTAACTTACAATTTAAAGTATGTATGTTTGAATTATCTCAAATCCTATACGTCTCTCAATAAATAGTTTTTTTTTATTAAATTTTGAACTTTATTTGTACCTTAAAACGTGTACAAAATTTGTATAAATTTCAATCGAAAAGCCCGAAACCCATATCGTCATCAGATTCCTCGGGCTCCTCTTCCTTCTTTTTCTCTTCTTTTTTTGCTTCAGCTTCTGGAGCAGCACCACCACCAGCGGCTGCTGCTGGTGCTCCACCTGCGGGAGCGGCACCAACACCAGATCCAATATTTGTAATTAAATCTCTAACATTAACGCCTTCTAAAGCCTTAGCAAACAAACCTGGCCAATATGGTTCCACATCTACATTTGCAGCTTTTAAAATAGTGGAAATTTTCTCACCCTAAAAATAAAACAACGTTTGCATTTTTTTAGCTATTTAATAATTAAAAAATTATTAGGATTAATTAGCATTTCCAAGATTTTCCGAAATTAAACGGATTCAACTTTCTGGAAATTACGGTATATAAATTCCGATACTCACAGTGACAGCAATGTCGTCATCAACCAAAATAAGGGCAGAATAAACGCATGCAAGTTCAGCTTTTGTAGTCATTGTTAATTATTTTGATATTTTGATTTTCTGATTTAAAAATGGTGCAAGTCGCCCAAAAATTTAATACGGCCTTAGCTCGATCGAGAACAAGCACTCCTATCTCGTCAAAATTTAAAGCGGAAAGAAAGAATAACATTATTTTTACTGACTTGACGTGTTGCATAGGTACAGTTTTGCCATATAAAACATGTTGCCGGTACTCTCAACAAAATTGTGCCAATTGGCATAATTTTTCTAATAACTAAAATATAATTGACTCATCACTGAAGTGCTTTTATATCGATGATTTTGAGTTACAGGCTGTGCATAAATATTCTATTGAAAACGAGCTTTTTTTACGAATAGTTTTTCTGTAGAATTCCTTCTTGCATATATCGGATGTGAAATATTTTATTTCTTTTAATTTTTTATTGCTATTTTGTTATTTTCAATACCACCTGTTTTCATGTTCTTTGATCACTTAGATTTGATTTGACAAGACGGCAGTTAAATTAATGGTTGACAGACGTTTCACTTCCTCTTATCAACAAACTAATTTTATGATGGGTTTGTGCAATGCATTGAGCATTGTAATGCTGTAGCAAGTTTTAAGGAGTGGGAGCTTTTTCTGACTTTTCGCCTCATCACTTTACAAAATTAGTTACGTAAAATCAATAACCATTGCTTTAAAAATTTCCTGCTTATATGTGTCTATAACATAAGCAGGATCTTTTTTCAGATCGCAGATGGAAACCCTTAAATGTTATTGGAATTAAAGTCCTTTTTGCTTAATAATTAAAGGATATAAGTAGTTCAATGTAAGGACAAAATACTAAGAATCTTTTAAAATCTATGTACAATATTTTTCTCTTAACTACTTGTATTTAATATCAATTAACTAAGTTAATTCGGGTAGTCGTTGATGTGCAAATGATAAAAATGCTTTTTTAAGCGTTTAAGATATTAGCTCAATCATAAACCCACTTGCTTTACTTTAACACTAATCATGAGCCCAATGAAAACTTTGTTTGAGTGCTTTAAGTGCACATGCGGACATGCAATTTCTAGTTTTGCAACTGTTTTATTGCTTATTCGTATCCCATTGGTTTATATTCAAGCCTGCATACATGCAACTGTAGGATGACATGCAAAATGTTTGCATGTACTGATTGCAATTTTTAGTTAGTGCACGCAATTTAAATTGACGCAATTTAAATTCGAGAAAAATTTTCGATTTCCTCTATAATTCTTAGATCTGATATTTGAATTCGATAATAAATATAACACAACTCAACAACGTATGCGTTTTGGTTTCAATAGCCTGCAGTCAAAAGTTAAATTTTTTTAACTGAAAAAAGGGGATGAACGAATTGCTAAGCCATTTCATTTTTACGATATTTAGTAAAATGAAACATTTTGATTGATTATAAATATTTTCCGAATCGAACATCCAGAAATTGAAAGAAAATTGCACCTTTACTCTACTTCCACTTAAACATAACTACGAACTACGAGGTACTTAACTGTAAAAACATAACTAAAGCGTTGAACGGAAAAAGCGGACATTTTTCGCTGTTAACGCTGTCAACTGTACAGTATTTTGCATATAGTGTCAGACAAACATGGAAACAGAAATGTAAAAGAAAACCTCCGGCGATAAAATAGGAATTTAGGCTATTTTACCGCCGGCGGTTAAATTCGCAGCTTTAATGTCGCTTCACATTTTGGAAATACACGCATGGGAATTCGAATGGAATTATTTTATGAAAATATAAAAGCAACTAACAGTTGACTAAAACTGTTACCAAATATATCTGGCAATGATTTACATAGCTATATGGCGCGCACCCGGTGTTTTTGTTTTTTATTCTGAAATTTTAATATAAAATTTAATAAATGACTGAAAAGAAGATTAACTCATTAGGGGATCTTGGTCCCTATATTTCCAATACGGATAATTCAAAAAATATTATATACATACAAGGTAACTATAAATGCTTAAAGAGAATGTACTTAATTTACTAATTGCTCAAATTATAAGGGGTTCCTGAAATATGTAAGACTCAGGCGTGTGTTGTAGGGGTTGACGAGGCTGGTAGAGGACCGGTTTTGGGACCAATGTAAGTTGATTTAAATGCATTTGTAAATATCTATTTATAAAGAAGTTCTATATTTAAAGGGTCTATGGAGTAGCTTTTTGCCCGAAAAGCAAAACTGATGTTTTAGTTGATTTAGGCTGTGCTGATTCAAAATCTTTGACCGAAGAAAAACGAGAATTAATTTTTGATGATATTCAGCAAAAAGAGTTCGCAAATTCTTGTATTGGCTGGGGCGTTGAAATAATATCTCCATGTACTATTAGCGAAAGCATGAACCGGAAAACTAAACATTCTCTTAATGAAATATCAATGGATTCTGCAATCGGTTTGATTCACCAACTTGTAGAAGCTGGGGTAAATATTGATGAAATTTACGTAGACACTGTAGGACCACCGGAAAAATATCAAGAAAAGTTAAAAAGTATTTTCCCTTATTTTAACATTACTGTAGCAAAGAAAGCTGATTCTACATATCCCATAGTATCAGCAGCAAGTATTTGCGCGAAGGTAGTAAGAGATAATTCCTTAAAAGTTTGGAAATTCAAAGAAGGTATAGATATTACTTATAAACAATTTGGAAGTGGGTACCCAGGGGATCCTGTTACTAAAAATTTTTTGATGGAAAACATGGACTTAGTATTTGGTTTTCCTCGACTAGTACGTTTTAGCTGGTCTACTGCTGAAAAAGCTTTACACGGAAAAGTTTTTGATGTATTTTTCGATGAATCAGATGATAAATCTGTGAATAAAAAGTGCGATTTGAAGAAATTTTTCAAGGGACAAGATAAAGATGGAAATGTTATTAGGGAACCACACTACTTTTTTAAAGACAGGTTTTTAAATGATGTTACAGAATTGTGACAATATCAAATTTATATTACTTCTACACTTTCGAAAAGTAGTTTAATTTTCTATAGATTAATAAACGAAATAAATTTAAATTTCTTTATATTCTTAAATATTGAGAAACATCGAAATTGTGCTTTAATCTATATAAATATAATATGTATGAATGCATTTATTGTTTCCCTTATTTGGTTAAAATAAACTTAAGATTATAAAAAAAGTATGTATTTATGTAGCAGTAGCATGTAGGAATTGTATGGTATTGTAACCAAACATAATTATAAAAAATATTGATGTTTAAATAAAAAATTTTCATAACAAACGTATTTCACGGTATTTGAATAAAAACTGCTTCGAGGGTAACTTTTCTTCACACATATTTTAAAGCTGTGATATTAAAATTTTTAATAACAAACTTTGCTCGATGAAAATTTTCCCGATTTTAATTATTAAATAACCTTTTATTTAAAAACTTTTTTATAATATTTTGTATATGTATGTATATTCCATTACTTACATTTAATTCAAAATTTTCTTAAATCAAGTACAAACACGCTGCCATCCGAAGCACTTGCTCCGACTTTTGTGCCTTTTGAATTCCAACATACTTCAAATATTCCACCTGTTCCTCTGTAACTGTGAACTAACTGTCCAGTCTGTGTACTCCATATATGTACGCATTTATCAAAACTACCTGATGCTAAATGTTTGCCATCTGGACTAAAAGCAACTGAATATACTGGTTCTGTATGCTTTGTAAGTGTGTGAATGCAAACTCCTCGTTCAACATCCCAAAGTCTCACAGTAGAATCAAAAGATGCACTTGCTAATATTAAATTTGTGTTCGGATTTTGAGTTCCTGGTCCAGTTGGAGACCATTTAATTGTGTATATTTCTTTTGAATGTGCCTGAAGGTCGTGAACGCAAGTGTCTTGTTTCATAGACCAAATTTTCAAGGTCATATCATCTGAGCAAGAAGCCAAAAGTTGCCCTTGGGGATCCCATTTAATTGCATTTACTTCATTCTAAAAAATAAAACAATATTGATTTGGATTCAACTTGATATAAGAAATGTAATCAACTGTGTGTCCTTGAAAAGATTTGATTGGCTTATCAACTCCTAATTTACAAACATGAATTCTCTGATCAGTACTACATGAAGCAAAAGAAATATTTGTCTGCCAATCTACATCTAAAGCGGGAGCATTATGAAAAGAAAATTGTTGTGTGCATTGACCAGTAGAAGCGTCCCAAATTATAGTTGTTTTGTCTACTCCAGCAGAAAGGATATAATTTCCGCGTTTATTCCATTTTAAGGCGAAAATTGGTCCTTTATGTTGACCTAAAGTAGAGGCCAATTGTCCATTCGTCATCCAAATGCGAGCGTAACCATCATAACTACCCGTTGCTAATAATGTACCATCACACTAAAAAATAATTTTTAATTTATGCATACGCCGCTGTATAAATAACTCACGTTCCAATCTAATGACGTCACATCTTTATTGCTTGGTACCTCGGCACCACCTTTTTGGATACAATGCCTTAAAACTAACTGATTGGGGCTAGTTGTATTATCGGACATATCCCATATTCGCGCTGTACTGTCCCCGGATCCACTAGCCAAAAGATCGGTGCTAGGATTCCAAGCACATATGAATACTTCACTTTCATGTCCACGCAAAACTGTTGCTTTTGATGCCGGTATTTCAATGTTTTGGTCAACTTCCATTGCTTCATTTTTGACGATGGTTGTAGTTGTATTAGAAGGAGTTGGGTGTGTATTTTGAGGAGGAATAGCTGTAGTAACGGTAGATGTGCCAGTTGTATTTGAGTTATGATTATTTGTTATATTTGGGTTTGTGTTTGTATTTGAAGTTGTTGATGATGTAGTGGCTGTTGGGGTATTATTCATTGTATTGTCATCATTGCCATTGGCTTCTGTAGCTGGTTCTGACTTTATTGCATCAGTCTTTATGGCAGCACAGTTTTCATTTTTTAAACTTTCCCCCTTCACTATTTTTTGCGATTTGATTTCTGGCATAACAGCATCAATTAAACTTAAACTTTCAACGGGCCTTGTATCGCCATCCTCCCCTACACTCAATTCAACTTCTGTATACAAAAGACCTTTTTGTATGATTGTTAACAAAGCTGCTGGGGGCACTAAAGCCCCATTGATATTACTCTGTGATATATGTGATTCAATACCAAATGTGAAAGCTGAATGTTGGAAGCCTTAATAAATACAGGATAAAAGCATGAATCTAAATAATCTTGAAAGAATCTGAGTTACAAAAATTGATTCACTTACCTGATTCTTGCAAATAACGATATACTAAGAAATTCACTTCATCACTAGAAAAACTCATTTTTTCTGCAATTTGGAATATATAATATATATTTAAAGATGACCTTACTCTTCTATTTCATTAATTAGCGTTACTTCGTAAAAATTTAACTAGCAATTAAAATAATTATCTCACAAATTTTTATTTTGGATTAAACAAATTGATTCAACATAGGCCAGCGTCAAAAAATAGTTCACATGACAGTTGTAGTGTTGCCAAGATACAAAATATTGTATCTATAAATTTTTAGTTAAAAACATGTAGGTTCTCTCTTTTATGGGATAGTTTTTAAAAATTATAAAAATTTGGTTAATATTTTTTGAGTAAAAATTAGAGAATTTGATGATGTTACAGTTTTCTCAATGTTTTAAGCTTTTTCAAGTTTTGTAAAGTAAAATTTAGTGTTTTAAAAACTTTTAGCTGTCAAAACATAATATGTTTTTCTTTACGTATATACTGTTATGTTTGATAAATATTTTGAAATTTGGCGTTTATTACGTGTTTTATAAAGTTTTAAAAAGTTTTTAGCACTTTTTCATCTGATTTATTTTTTTAAATCAGAATTTTTTTGATTATGATAATTTTTAGGACCGAGAAGTTACGTAATTTTTTCTATATTTAAAGTTTTTTAAAGTTTTATACCAGAAACACCTAATATCTGGGTACACAAAAGCAACAGAATATTACCGATAAATAAATAAAAGCTAGCTAAAAATATATATAAGTATGTACATGTACATATACGTATATCAACTTATTTCTCTTTCTAAAAGGGGTTTTTTTTGAAAAAATAATGAACCTATGAAATCTCTTAAATTATAGTTCCGCAAATAAATTACGATTTAAATAAAAATTATAAAATTTTTTGTAGAAATTGGTAGATAGAAAAAGGCTTTATACTATTCATGTGTCATTCGCGAACCAACTAATCTTAAAGAACGATTCACTTCACTGAACTTAGCTGATTAGTTCACTTCTTCAAAAATGAATCGTTCACTTTAGTATGTACTAAATGTACTAAAATATGCAATACAAACAAAAAAGAAAGAGAATTAATCAAATATAAATAAAATGCAATACAAATGCAACTAAAATTTACCGATTCACGTACCTATTGTCTAATATAAATGTAATACAAATAAAAGTGACCAAATTAAAAATCTACCTAAATAAGAAAATTGAAAGATTGGACTAGTTGATTCCAATTGAAAGCTACCTGTATGAATAAAAGGAATCATTTAACTAGGATACCATATGTCTTATATTAATTATGCATAAAATATTTAAAAAAGGGTAAAAAGGGTTTGCTAAGTTTAATTTTTTCAAAACAAAATTCAAGAATTTTAAATTAAAAAAAAAAAAAAAATCAAAACAAATTTTTTTTTGTGAATTTCTCAATATGTCAAATTACTGGCAGCAAAATTTTCTTGCAAGTTGAACTGCAAGTAAACAAACAAGTAGAAATATTTCAATGTGTTAGTAAAATTTTTGTATGTATTGCAACTTTCTTGCAAGTAACTTGTACGTGTAAATGCTGGGTAAGGTACTGTTTACATATTATATTTTTGGAATAAAAAATCAGCTTATTGCCAGAAATTAAAATCTAAATGAGTCTGTATCGTAAATGGAGTATAAGGAATATAATAACTGGCGTATTTTTAAATTATATAGATACAAAAACTTAAAAATAGGAAAAAATTAGGAGAGTTACAAATTATTTAAAAAAAATCTTTTACATTCTAGTAAATATTTGAAATATGAAGGCCCAAATGGACAATTTTCAAAATCATAAAACATTAAATTTCTTATCAGTGGTTTTCATAGATGTACTTGAAGGAAATTAAGATTGTGTAAATAAGTTGGTAAAGGAATAAAACAACAACAATTATATAATAAAATCAAACATTTTGTCAACCGCTCTTTATATATATGTATTACTTCCATACTCTCAAAATATTTCAGTACTATTTTCTACTAATACAGGTTTTTCATACCACAATTGAAATCAGAATATATGTTGTCTTCCTGTTATAGCTCTATGATATAAAACTTAGCTAACAATAAAAGCCGTCAAAACTGCAGCATCTTGAATCAAAACATAGCAGAACATAGCAGACTTAAATCATAAAATTTTAAACACGGTAACAGTGTAACAAAGTAAAACTTTAAAGCAGTAAAATATGCTATCTTTGTTGTACATTCTTATTAGATAAGTGAATATTTTAGTTGTCAAATCTAAAATCATCCAATTATAATGCGCGAATAGCGACAGAGCAAGTTATATGTATATTTTTTGCAGAACAAATAAAATCATTTCGAAGTTAATTTTGTAAATAGAAAAATAAATATATTAATAAAATACTAAAAGTTTTAAATTTGTTAAATATTAACTATTCGTGCATGCAACACAATTTTTAGAAAAGATTATTTAAAATTTATATTGGATTGTACAACTGAAAATTAAAGTAGCTGAAAAAAATCAATAGGTCCGGAAAAGTAGATCAGTGATTATAAAAAGATTATTTCACTACTAGAAACTTTTTCTTTTTATGTAAGTATACGTAATAAAAATTACGTTCGTATTAATTGTAGTCAAATTATTTTTTTTTTTTAAAAAGATTTTGCTAATGTTAAAAGGCATCAAGAAAAAGTAATTCTGTAAAGGTTTTTACTGAAATATTCCATGGATAAGTGTAATGAAATGAACTGTCAACAAAAATTCGGTTGAAACAATTTTTTTTTACAAACTTTGACCTTTTTCAATTTCAGTAAAAGTATGGGAGTTGGCTATTTTTTAAAAAATTCTTATCAAAATATTTAATCCAATTAATTTTTAAATATTTAACTAAGCATAATGAAATAAACAGCATAATTTTTATCATAAATATGTATGTACATATATTAGTATAAATGTTTAAATAATATGCTTATGGTCAAAAATAATGATTCATTTCTGTATGTATCGTTTAAGTTTATATTTTCTTGGTTTGTAAAATTATGTGTATTCTACTGTTGAGATGCTTCCATAACTGAATATTAAAGTGAATATTTTTGAATTACATTTAGGGAAATTTACAGTTAAAAATTAAAAAAAGGCATGATATTTGACTAATATGAAATAGTGATATGTCTATGTTCTTAAAAAGAGCATTTGCATATAAAAATATAGGTTGATAATAAACTTTTCTCCTGAAAATGCTCGGATGTATGTACCTAGGTACTTACCAAGTACTTTATGTTTTCATCATTTTTAAATCATATTTTTTTGTCCTATTTTTACACGGAAGACAAAAATAAACGGTGAAGACTTTCACTGTGTTCAATTATTTTTTACAATAAAATAAAAAGAAAAGCACTTTTTTAAAACCAAAACACTTGGTAGTAATAAGAATCTTTGTGCGTAAATATTATATTATTTTTAAAAGCCTAAATTAAAATAAAAGTTAATACACCCAAATTGCTTCTTATATAGTCTTTTATAATTAATTTAATGAATAAAAACGGCTTGCCTATTGATAACAATTTTTCTTTTCATTTCCGAAAGTTCATAAATCTATGATTTTTTTATTTTTTTCTTTTGTTATTCAGATAATTTTATATTTTTTGCTGGTAACTAAGTATGTATACTAAGTATGCACTTTACATGTGTATGTCAAGCTGTAAGTTGAATTAGATTTTTTAATTTTATTTTATTTCATATTTCGAGCCACAATTGTTTCCTTCATCTCATAATTCGTCTCATAATATTAATTTAATCCACATTTAAGTGTAAATAACTTTAGTGCAATTTTTTTAAGTGGTAAGTAAGAGTAAAATGACATGAAAATTATAAACAAATTCAATTTACTTATCAAGTTGACATTTTGTTTAACAAAACTAATTGAAAATTAAAATTATCATTTCAGAAAATTTTAACAATCAATCACACTAGGAATTGAGCAGGAAATATAAATATAATTCTAGAACAAAAGTATTATTGTTCAGGTGATTAAGTAATCAACTGGATTAAATATTTTGTAAAATTTAAAATAACTAAAAGAAAGGTTTTTCGTTTGTGGAAGTTAAATAACTAGCCGTCAAAATTAATATCAAAAAACCCACTATGGCACCTGTAAGGGGCGATGGCATGAGGGGGCTTGCTGTTTTCATATCGGATATAAGGAATTGTAAGTAAATTGAGTTTGTTGGTACTATATTTATATTTAATTTATAGTTCAATTAGAGTGTTATATTAATATTGTGCTACATACATACATATCTATAAAAGATTTTAACATAAAGTTTGTGCCGTAAATATAATGTTTTTTTCAATAAACGTTTCTTAATATTGGGACTTCGTCTAAAATATTGGCACATTGCCAGAGAGGGCTATGTATAATAAATACATATATATATTTATATTATATAAATATATATATATATGTATATATATGTATATATATATATATATGTGGGAAAATAAAATTAATGAATTATTTTTAAATTCATCAAAAAAGGGGCGTTTTTGCAAAAGTTAATAGTTAATTACAAAATTAACAATCAAACAACAACATGCTTTATTTACTATTATTTAATAATTAATATGATAATATATAAAAAATATTTTTTTATAACGCTGATAAAACTGAGCTTCTGTGTAACAAAATATTGAAAGTAAAAATTTATTTGTTTTTAAAAAATTAAAAACAAAAATATTTTTGGTTTAAAACGTTATTTGCTTTCATCAAATTTCTAACATTAGAAGATTTTTTTATTTACTCATATTACCTTACTTATTCAACTGTTTCTTTGTCTGCAAGGTAAAAGTAAAGAAGCTGAAATTAAACGAATAAATAAGGAACTTGCAAATATAAGAAGTAAATTTAAAGGAGATAAGACTTTGGATGGATATCAAAAGAAAAAATATGTATGCAAATTGCTATTTATATTTCTGCTTGGCCACGATATAGATTTTGGGCATATGGAAGCTGTTAATTTGCTTTCTTCTAATAAATATTCAGAAAAACAAATCGTATGTTATGAACAATATTTTTTGATTTATATATATATATTGGTTAACATATTATTTTTTCAGGGATATTTATTTATATCAGTTTTAGTTAATACAAAAAGTGATTTAATTCAATTGATCATACAATCAATCAAAAACGATTTACAATCAAGAAATCCGGTGCACGTTAATTTAGCTTTACAATGCATTGCTAATATTGGAAGTAGAGATATGGCAGATTCATTTACAAATGAAATTCCGAAGCTATTAGTTTCAGGGCAAGTAGTATAATACATGTAGATAGTTTTGTATTGAATTGATCGTTGGTTACTTTTTAGGGACACAATGGATGTTGTTAAACAATCGGCTGCTCTTTGTTTGCTTCGCTTATTTCGTACTAGCCCGGAAGTGATACCCGGCGGAGAATGGACAAGTAGAATTATTCATTTGTTAAATGATCAACATATGGGTGTAGTAACGGCAGCAACATCGTTAATTGATGCTCTGGTTAAGAAAAATCCCGATGAATATAAAGGATGTGTAAATTTAGCTGTTTCAAGGCTTTCTCGTATTGTTACAGCCAGTTATACTGATTTACAAGATTACACGTACTATTTTGTCCCAGCTCCATGGCTGTCCGTAAAATTGCTTCGTTTGCTACAAAATTATAATCCAGTTACAGAAGAACCAGGTGTTCGGGCTAGATTGAATGAAACACTAGAAACTATTCTAAATAAGGCACAGGAACCACCTAAAAGCAAGAAGGTTCAACATTCAAATGCAAAAAATGCTGTTCTTTTTGAAGCAATAAATTTAATAATACATAGTGATAGTGAGCCCAATCTTTTAGTTCGCGCATGTAATCAACTTGGACAATTTTTAAGCAATAGAGAAACTAATTTACGATATTTGGCTTTAGAGTCCATGTGTCACTTAGCCACATCCGAATTTTCACACGAAGAAGTAAAGAAACATCAAGAAGTTGTAATTCTTTCAATGAAAGTAAAGGATACTTTATCATAAAGTACTGAACAGTTGAATTAATTAAAATTTACGTTATTACAGATGGAAAAAGACGTTTCTGTAAGACAGCAGGCAGTTGATCTTTTATATGCAATGTGTGACAGGAGTAATGCTGAAGAAATAGTTCAAGAAATGCTAAATTACTTGGAAACTGCTGATTATTCTATTCGAGAGGAAATGGTACTAAAAGTTGCTATTTTAGCAGAAAAATATGCAACAGATTTCACTTGGTCAGTTCTATATTGATTATTCAAAATAAATTATAAAAAGAAATTTGACATATAATGCTTCGCAGGTATGTTGATGTAATTTTGAATCTCATAAGAATTGCAGGGGATTATGTTTCGGAGGAAGTTTGGTATCGCGTAATTCAAATTGTAATAAATCGAGAAGAAGTTCAAGGTTACGCTGCAAAGACTGTTTTTGAAGCACTACAAGCTCCAGCGTGTCATGAAAACATGGTGAAAGTAGGAGGGTATATTCTAGGTGAATTTGGGAATTTAATTGCTGGTGATTCCCGTTCTGCACCAATAGTCCAATTTAAGCTTCTTCATTCAAAATATCACTTATGCTCACCAATGACACGTGCTTTGCTTCTTTCAACTTACATTAAGTTTATAAATTTGTTCCCGGAAATTCGCACGAATATCCAAGAAGTGTTCAAACAGCATAGTAATTTGAGATCAGCAGATGCCGAATTACAGCAAAGAGCTAGTGAATACTTACAATTGAGCATAGTTGCGTCCACCGATGTTCTGGCTACTGTGCTTGAAGAGATGCCATCATTTCCTGAAAGGGAGAGCTCAATACTTGCAGTATTGAAGAAAAAGAAACCAGGAAGAGTACCGGAGAATGAAATAAGAGAGTCGAAGAGTCCAGCACCAAGTGCTACTCAAAATAATGTAGCAGTTAATCACAAGTAAATATTTTAAAATTTTAAAAAATTGGTTATTTTTATTAACATAAGAATTTTTTAGAGTAAACAGTAATGCAAACGCTGACTTATTAGGACTCAGTACACCACCTTCAAATAACACGTCAGCAGGAGGCGCTTTGATTGATGTTCTTGGGGACATTTATAACAACGCAGTTCAGCATAATGCTAAAAAATTCCTATTTAAAAATAATGGTGTGCTTTTTGAAAATGAATTGATTCAAATAGGAGTAAAATCAGAGTTTCGTCAAAATTTAGGGCGATTGGGTTTATTTTACGGCAATAAAACTCAAATTCCATTATCGGTAATTTTACATACTATTTTAATTTCTATATAATAATGCTACATGAACTGAATGTTATAAATATAATGCTTATATTGAATGTTATAATGCTGTTATATTCTTACGTAGAATTTTACACCTGAATTACAATGGTCAACGGAAAATGCTCTCAAATTAAATGTACAAATTAAACCAGTTGAACCAACATTAGAGGCTGGTGCACAAATACAGCAGTTAATGACTGCTGAATGTATAGAAGACTATGCGGATTCACCTTCATTAGATATTACATTTAGATATAATGGAGCTCAACAAAAACTGAATGTTAAATTACCACTAACTTTAAATAAATTTTTTGAGCCTACTGAAATGAATGCTGAGTCGTTTTTTGCAAGATGGAAAAATTTGGGAGGGTAAGCTAATATTTTTCCAAAACGATATTTAAATACGAAGTTTTTTTTAATTTATAAAACAGGGAACAACAACGAGCGCAAAAAGTTTTTAAAGCACAAAGTCCCCTTGATTTATCTGGCGCTCGTATTAAACTGGCGGGATTCGGTATGCAATTGTTGGAAAATGTAGATCCTAATCCCGATAATATGGTATGTGCTGGTATTATTCATACACAGACACAACAGATTGGGTGTTTGCTAAGATTGGAACCAAACAAACAGGCACAGGTATGCAGATTTTTAATTCTTCTAAACAAATAATTGGTTTATTTTCTTTAATTTAAGATGTTCCGTTTAACAATTCGTGCTAGTAAAGAAACAGTAACACGAGAAATTTGTGACTTGCTTGTTGACCAATTTTAAAAAACAAAATTTTAATAATTTTGAAAATGAATTAATATTTCAAAAAAAAATTTATAAGTATATAAATATATAATAATTATATATTTCCTGTATGTATATTATTTTTTCTTGTAATTAAAATTAAATATGAACAAAAATTGAATATTAGGAACGAAAGTAAATTTTAATCGCTTATAGGCGAAAAATAAATGAAATAAAAAAATCGATTTCAATTGGGTGAATATAATTAAAAGATCTTTTTTTCAAAATTATTTTGATTCTCCTAATAACTATCAATTCAATTCAGGACATTCATAGTTGATTAGCTTTATTTTTTAATAAACTTATAATAAAATTAAAGCTTTCATGTTTAAAACAAATCATATTTTCTCTGCTACATTTAAAATATTTTAATAACTAAAGCAAAGTATGAAAGTAAGAGAAATATCACTACAGCAAAATCAACTGATTATTAGGAAGTATTAGAAATAAGTTAAAAAGTACATTGATATAAATTAATATGAAAAAAGAAAATTATTAATACTATAATTAAAACATATTCCCGTTGTAGAAATAGATGTTATGGTTTACATTATTTTTTATTAAATTTAGCTTTTATTGTACTTGAAATTATTGTGCGACAACAGAATTATAAACAGTTAAGTTTTTAAATACTTATTATATATTTTTGAGTGAGTTTGTTTTCAGACCAATAAGTGTGAATAATTTCACTTTTATAAAAAAAAATGTTGAAAAATTAAACAAATACATTTTTTTAAAATTATATTCATATATAATATAGGTATACATATTTAATGATATTCTCATTACTCAATTACTTCTCAATTAGTGATTGTTAATCCCTATGTAATTATTAATTAACTATTTTACCGAAAATTAATTATTTCATTTTCAATTTTGTATGAAATAAATATTCGTTTTTAATTATTTTAATTGAATTGCAAATTTAGTTAATTTTTAATATTATCATACAAGTATAAACTATAAAAATGTTTGTCTTCTTGATAATATCTTCACACTTTAAATATGGATACATTCATAAATTAATTTTATTCGGTTTTTGAAAATATGTAATCAATAAATTTCTTTCGACTTTGCATTTAATATAAAATAATGTAAATTTAAATATATATTAAAATATTGCATAAAAATATTAATATATAATTTGTTGTATTATAAAGTTAAAATGTTCAAGAAAAATAAAGTGAAAATCTCATTTTACGATTAGGTATTAAAATTGTTGATAAAAAAAGTTATTTAAATAAAGATTGATATTTTTAACTGTAAGATAAAGATCATTTATATATATATATATATTTATATGTATGAATTCTTTCAAGGTGAATTTCAAACTGTTTACGTTTTAATATAATTTTTTTTTTATTATTGTAACTTTAAGAGAAAAAAAATATATAAAATTGATATGATAATAAATTTATATATGCATAAAATACATATTACATATACATTCACTCTATACATAATATTATAATATAAAAAAGAGTTTCTTTCCAAAAAAGTACATAATATAATCTTTTTTTTGTCTTTGAATTTTGTGTTCCAAGCTAGACAAAATAAAATTCAAATTAAGTATTATCTCATTAAATGATTTCAATATGCAAGTTTGTACATATATATATATATATATATATATATATATATATATATATTCATATATGTATGCATAGATATAATAAAATAGTATAATCATAATATATTATTATACTTTATTTTTCATTCTTTTCTTTGAAAATATAAAATTAAAATATGAAATATTTCTAAATTTAGAATTTCAATGATAATAAAATGATTACCTTGATATTGGCACTTAAACGCAAGAGAGATAAAAGTAAGAAAATAATAAAAATCAAAATAATCCCTGCAAGAATAAAAAGTGAACAAAAATTCATTTAGAAAAATTTTTATTGATACACTCTTAATTTTAAATAAATATTTACATAAACATTTGAAAACATGTATAATACACAAAAAAAAATATAAGTACGTTATTACGATCATAACCAAAATACAATAAATATGAAATTTAATATAAAAAATTAAAACAAATACATTAAAAAATTATTAAAATATCAAATTGGTTTTCTTTTTGTCGAACTAACACGGACGAGCTTCTTAATTAACATAAAGTAAGCAATATAGGCAGACGAAAACATCTTGCGTTTGTTTACTTATTCCAAGGTGCAACTTTGGATAATATGTGTAAGACAAAATAAAACAATTTTTTAATGGTTTATGTTTGATAATATAACAGAGAATTTTTTAATGTTTTATGGTACTTAACATAAGCGCATAATATCAAGTTCATTAGTAGTAGAATAGACGATTACTAAAAAAAAAATTTCTTTGTTATTTATGAAAATGAAAGTCAGTGTTAATAATTTTCCCAAAAAATTTTTTTTATTAAAATGAAAATGCTTTTTTTAAATTTCTGAAAATTTAAATTGAACGTTAATATTAACTGAACTCAATTCTGTTATAAGATATTTGTAAGCACAAGGTATTTCTAAATAACCTATGTCCGATTTATTTTTACATTTTCGACAATTTGCTGGAGTGGAGGAAATCATACCTTCCTTTGTACGTTTTGTAATTCTTTGAAGAGGAAACAGCATACTACCACAATTTTTACATACTAAAGTTGTTGTTTTATCCGAACAATGAAATAATCTATCTTGAAGTAAAAATGATGCTCCATGTGATATCAGACTATCACGTTCCATTTCACCAAAACGTACACCACCACCTCTTTTCCTGCCTTTAATTGGCTGTTGTGTTAACACGTCTACAGGGCCAGTTGAACGTACTTGGAATTTATCAAATACCATGTGGCGCAAACGTTGATAATGAACGATTCCAAAAAATATATCTGCTACCATTTCTCTACCATCAACTCCACTATACAAACGTTCGGTACCGTAATAATTATAGCCTCCTTTTTCAAGAAGTTGGCCAAAATAATCGATTGCTGTATATTTTTCACTAAATCTGAATGGTGTGGCATCGTGAACAAGGCCATGTAGTGCTGCACTTTTTCCTGCCATTGTTTCAATCATCATTGCTATGGTCATTCGTGATGGAAATCCATGTGGATTAAATACTATATCGGGTATAAGTCCAGTTTCTGTGAATGGTAAATCTTCTGCAGGGTATTTTTGTGAACAGATACCTTTTTGGCCAGCTCTAGAAGCAAATTTGTCTCCAATGTTTGCTGGACGCTATAAAAGTATATAAAAAGTGCGTGTAATTATTGCAAAAAAAAAATTACTCTTAACTTACAGGAATTCTTAAACATATGCTCACACATTTGGGCGATCCTATATTGAAATGTCCTAAATATTTTACTGTGTCAACAATAGCTTCCTCTTTTTCTTCATTTTTCACAACTTTGTAGATTGACTCATCAGTATCGTAATAGCTAACAAAAATTTTCGTTTCAATAATAATCAGTAGCGCATTTAGCCTTTTACTAGCGTAAAAGGCTAGAGATTCTTATTGACAATAGAATACAAGCATATGTATGTATGTATATGTAATGTATGAAAAAAATTTGACAATTCCATGAAATCATATGCAATATGATACTTACCAGTACAAAATTGATTTGTAGTGGATTTTCATTCCCGGATGAGGTAACCCATCATTATCTAAAAAATTTCCTAAATTTTGATTGTGTGGATCTCTTGCAAAGTAAGAGGAACCCTTTAGTTCAACAACATGTGTTTTGTAAATGCTACCATATGCAAAACCTCGGTCATGGGCAGCTTTATTAATAATCATAGCGTCTTCCATGTCATATCCAGTATAAGATAGTACAGCTACAATAGCATTTGTTCCCATTGGGTAATCATCTAATTCTATTTTATCATAATGAATCGGTCTAAACAGCGGAGTTCCTGGTGTTTGTAATCTATACAATTTTGAACCATTTTGCAATTGCCAGTTGTGACAGGGAGTGCCCATAGTTTGTTTACCCATCTGACACTGATACATATTTCTGCATAAAAATTCATTTAAAAATTAAAATGAAATATTTTTTTTCGATTACCTTGGAGATTGATTATAATCTGGCATTGGAATTAAGAGAGCTAAGTTACTCAGAAAATCCAGTTTTGAAAGTTCCATGTGGCTAGTGTAACCTTCATAAATTTCATCATCATCTATAGCTATATCCATGTATACCTGCTCAAATGAACCAATGTATTCAATTTTGCCCAGTGATATGTTTTTTACTGGTCTCATCATACGTGATGGACCAACGAATAAGTATAACCCAGGAAATTGGCCTTTATTTTTGAAAGGAACTAATACTATCTCCATCATATTTGGTAGTACATTTTCAACTTTTAAGTATCTTAAGTTATCTATTATTTTTGAGCTATGTGTTTGGCTTATATAACCCAATATTTTGCCTTCTAACATAACAGTATATGTCTTCAAATCTAATTCCGATAAATGTGAGCTTACTGGAATCATTCCTAAATCTGTTAAAATTTTTGGAATTTCCTTAACTTGGCTTTCCTTAGGTAAAGTAGATATGCAGCAATTAACAGTCAAATGATTTAATAAACCACAAGGTGCACCATCTGGAGTATGAACCGGACATATAAACCCCCAAGCATCTGGTAGTAATTGACGGGCTTCAGTAGTTCTCATTGTTGTAAAATATGAACCACGATGTATAGAGCGAAAATGTGACATATATCGCATCCTATTAATATTTTCTGCCATAATAGAAAGACCAGTTTGTTGCATTAAACCCATTCCGGATCTTGATGGTGCATTTCCTGTTGCTAAAAATGTTTCCATAGCACGTCCTATTCCGCCAGCACTTCTTCCAGACGATTCGAAAATTGTTTGTGTAACTAAAACATGATTCTCACATTTTTTTAACATATATCTCTTGACATAACTAAGCCATATTTCCAAACGTTCTCTTAAAAATTTTTGATATAAAGTTCCACTTGTTAAAACTTCTTGCATCATGACACTGTCAATATTTTCAAGTTTATACTTCTCTTGTGCACATTGAAATAATTTTTTAACCATATAAATTATGAGATTAAATTTGTCCTCATATTTATTTAGGTGGACTAAAATTCTTTCATTTAAAATATAGTCTGTGATATCAAAATTAGAATACCAATCAGGCAATTCGGGAAATCTTGCTCTAAATATTCCCCCCAAATAATCTTTGCATTGGGTATGTGAATGCAAGCCCTCATCGTGCACTTCGCGTAGCATGGTTTGAATAGCCGATATGTAATATTGGTCTGATTCGTAACCATGTATTAGTTCTTCAAAAATTTTTTTATCTGTATAATCTACTAAACATTTTAGCAATAAGCAAACCGGCAGATATGACAGAATCTTACTTTGGGAGAACATAAATTTTGCAGTTCCATTACTTAAAAAGTGAAGTACGTTATTAAAAGATTGTTCATCTGATCGGACGGTTCTAATCATTACACCGACATCTGTAAACATTTTTCCTCTGTCTTTCCAAGTGCTTCTTTTCATAACAATAGGATAATTCCTTCTTGTCATCAAAAGCATCCGGAGAATTTTTTCGTTTCCTTTACATATAAAGTACCCACCCCATTCAGTTTCATGTTCGCCTCTGTCTATTAGGTCTTCTGGGTTTAAGCCTTTCAAATTGCATTTGCTACTTTTAAGCATTATTGGGATATTTCCTAAATTAAAATCTACAGTTTTACATTCATAGCCGTCTATTATACATTTCACACGAGCAGTACATTTACCGGCATATGTCATTCGACGCTGACGGCATTCAGTTGGATAAATATTTCTATTTCTTACGTCTATAACATCTTGCGGAATTTCAGGTTTAGATATATTTATTTCCTCGATTTGCAACGTGATTTTCTCACCACTAGAAGTTTGAAATTGAACAGGATCTATATTTTCAGCCAATGATTTCAGTCCATGAGATAAAAAACTATCAAAAGCCTCAATATGGGGGGCTCCAAGTTTTAATAAATACTAAGTACATATTATATATTAAAAATTAATATAAAACCAAGGATAAAAACTTACAGGATTGAAACACTTTTTACTTTCCCGGTAAATAGGTTTTAAGTTAGATAAACTTGGAAAATCGTGCATGATACTTTTTTAAATGCTTAATATATTTGAAATTATAAAAATAAATATTGCGCTGTCAAAACTGTCGCACGTGTTTTGCATAAAGGAAAATAAAAATAATTTTGACATTTCATGTTCCACAAGTGAATTGTTAAATTTCAATATTGTAGACAAACCATAGATGCACTAGGTTAATAGACTGACAGTAGGGTCAGTCTTTAAATTTTTGTTTTAAGATATTTGGACCTACAGATTTCGAAAAATTTGTGGTGCAACTGCCAAAGCAAATTAGCATAATGAATATTATACTATATATACACATTTTAAAACAGAAATAAATAATATTTTTTAATGAAAATTGAACTAGAAACAAACATTTCAAATAATGATCTATAAACCATGTAGCAAACCTGACAATGTAAATGTAAAATATAACAGTTAACTCTCATTTATATACTCATGTTTGAATTAACGTTTAGTTTCATTTTAAAAAGTATAAATCGGAGACAATTATACAGATTTAAAAAGTCATAAAAAAACGCGTAATATCAGCGTAAAAGTCATAAGAAAACGCGTAATAGTTCTAACTTAGTACTACATTTGTATCCTATGTTTGACAATAAAGTACTGTCAAACATACTGTACTGCGCGTGCTGTCAAAAAAATGTGTTTGATTTTGATAATGCCGTATTATTTTTTGCAGTTTGTTTTATAACGATAACTGTATGCTGAAATTTTTAAAATATACGCACAACTCAGTTTTGATTTTACTGCTGCGGAAACTATTTTGTACCTTAACAAAAAATAAGGTCGGATTTACTAGATTTATTAAAATAAGTTTCTTTTAAATTTTGTTATTACTTGAATACAAAATTTGGTGATTCAGAAATGTACACAACAACATCGGTTAGACTGTCGAAAATGGACAAAATTTTTTTTTGGGACTGGGTGCCAAAACTTAAGGGTTTCCGAGTTCCAGGGATTTTACCGGATTTTCACGAAAGTTTTACTTATCCAAGTTTTTTGGATTATATCTAAAAAACAATATAATATAAAAGATAGACAAACGAACAGTTTCTAAAAGGCCTACTAAAGTACTTAAAATAAACATATTGTGTGATTCTGTATTTTATGAGCATTCGAACTTTAGGGAAAATCAAATTTCTTCCTTGTTTTATTTTTTAAGAAATTTATTTTATAGAGTTTATGTAGCCGCTTACGCTTTAATTTAAGTCCTCAAACATTAAAAAAATTATTATGGTACGGAAGATATAGCACAAAAACCATTTCTATGTCAAGATTTTAAAGGTCTTATCTTTCACTATTGCTTATTACTAAGCGCTGTAATTATCAACTATCATTAATTTTGGAAGAGGAGAGTGTTGTTTTGGATGTTTAGAGTTTTGAAAACTTTTAATTTGAAAAACAAAAATTGATTTGAAAAAATTTGAAATTTAAAAATCTAGTAATTAAAAAATTTTTTTCGAAACAGCCGCAAATTCTTTAACGTCAAAATTTTGTTTTCAGTCTGCAAACCGTCTAACGTATAAAACTTTTACAGACAGAAATGTATTGCTTTTTACCCGTAATTGACTTTGAATCTTGATTATCCGTAAACGTCAAAACAAAAAAAAAATTTTTTTTAGATTTAAAATAATTTTATACTTACATATTAAAAATTAACAAAAAAAATATTTTTTATATTATTTTTAACGTAATGATAGTCACTCAATACATCAAATTTATTTACTGAATTACTACGTCAGACTGTCTGCATGTAAAAAAAAAAATCTACAATTTTGACGCTTAATTGACTTTTTTTAAACGTTTAAGAATTTAAGCTTTGATTGAAAGTAAAAACGGGGTAGAGTATTCGTAAACTCAGACAACTCAGATTTTGTAAAATGACTTTTAAGAATTTACCAAATTTACCAATACCTAGTATATGATTTGAAATTTTTAAATGCATTTTTCTCACATTGGATGTAATTTAAAAATTTGAAAAAAATATTTTCGAAATCTAGACACCATTTGGCACCTGACGTTATGAAAATTATCCAGCTGAAACGAAGTTTCATGCTATATGCATTTTGACATTTATTTGATTTAAAAAAAATTTTTAATAGAAAAATTTAATTTTGTACACAAAATGGAGTTTGTAAATGATATGTTATTAACATTATGAAGCTAATAAATAATTAATAAATAATTTAATGGGATTAATAAATTTGAAACAAAATTCTACAAAAACTAAAATTGGTGCATGGTTGATGCAACTAAAGAAGTGTTGATTTAAAATATGCGATGGAATAGAAATAGATTTGAAAGAAGAAAAACATTAATTTTTTCCGAATTAGGTGAATTTCATAGGAAAATTTGGTGCTCGTTTTGAGAAATTTGTAAAATTTTTGGATATGGAATTCGTATTTTTCCAAATTTTTTGATAAAGGAATATTAAATTGAATTTAATTTTATCAACATCTGCTTTGATTTTAATTAAATTTTTGGCTCACAATATTTGTGGTTTTCGTGCTATATCTTCTGTACCATAAAAAATTTGTCAATGAAAACTTAAATTAAAGCTTAAATGGGTAGGCAAAATTCTATAAAAAAGTTTTCAAGGTCACAAAAATTAATTATGGATTCTAATTGTTTGATTTTTTTTCAATCTTTGTTTATTATACTTGTATCAGAAATTTTCACTAATTAGTAGGCTTTTAATTTTAAAAGATAAAAAAGGAATATTACAGAATTTATTTTAGGTACAAAAATAGTAAAAATCATTTAGAAGTCGTACGGAGTCGTTACCCAATGATAAGTTCTCGCAATGAAATGATGTTATAATCTTCTATGAATATTCAGATCCAATGGTCTTCTTCTTTTTAGCCTTCTATATGCATAGAAATGGTTTTGCATGATTGTAGAAATTTCACTATTCTTGTGAATTGAAGTTCTGTTTCTCAACTTTGCTATGTGAGACAGTATTTTCTCGGTTACTGTGGTATGTTTAGGTTTCGATAATGACGCTGTTTTTTACATACTACGGAGCATCTATAATTTTCCTTAATATTCTATTTTAAACTCTTTGGATTATATCTATGTATATTCGTTCTTTTAGCATATCCCCATAACAGGATGACATATAACCATATAGGTTTTATTACCTGCTTATATATTAATATTTTATTACTTATAGTTATTTCCTTACTAATAAAAATCCAAAATAGTTCTCTGGTTTTAATTTTTATCTCTTCTTTCTTTTTTAATATGTTCTTTCCACTCCAACTTACAATCAAGTGTAATACCTAGATACTTAGCTTGATTTGAGTATTGGACGTTGATTCCATTTATTTGAATTTTTATATTATTTGTTTTCCTTTATTTGTAAAGTCAACATGTGCGGATTTGGCTTCATTTATTTGAATTCTCCATAGCCTTGTCCATTGGTAGAATTGATATATAGAATTGAATACTCCCTTGTAACTTCGATATACTGTCTACAAAGGTATTACTAACTGTCAATATAGCAGTGTCGTGAGCAAATGTGTCTATTTTTCTGTCTTCATCCATTGGCATATCATTTATACATAAAAGATATAAAATAGGCCCCAGAACACTGCTCTGCGGAACGCCTGCCATAATTTCTCTAAATTTAGAATATTCATCGTTGAGTTTTACACGAAAGCTTCGGTTTTGTAAGAAGAATATTAATATTTCGCAGATTGGATTTGATAAATCTCGCTTTGTTTTATACATGAGTCCCTCGTACCAGACCTTGTCAAATTCCTTGGCTATATCTAAAAATACTACTGAACATATTTGTTTTCTTTCTAGAGCATCTTCTATAATATTGGTAATCTTAAGTATCTGGTCTGCAGTGGACTGATTTTCTCCAAAACCAAATTGGTGTACGGGTACGGGTATTCTTTTTCTCTAGAACTGGATTTATTTTTAGCAGCAGCAATGTTTCAAATAATTTAGACATTATTGATAGCAACGATATAGGTCTGTATGATGTTGAGTCATTTGACTCTTTACCAGGTTTTAAGACCATTATAACTTCGGCAACATTCCATTGTAGAGGTATGTGATTTAGCCTCAAACTCGCGTTGAGGAGATAGAGCAGATTTCTCAGTGCTATTACTTGGAAATTCTTTCAATATTTTTGCAGTTACGAGGTCGTATCCTGGAGCTTTATTGTTTTTTAGACTTTAATTTCTCTTTTTAATTCGTACATTGCAAAATTGTTTATTCTCATAGTATCTGGAATTGCTTGGCGTGAATTCGAATTAAAAATTTGCGATGAGTGTTGTGGGGTTTCGAAAACTTTTTCTAGGTATTTCGCAAACACCTAAGTTTTTTTAAAATCACTTTTTGGTCAAGTATTGTCAACCTTCCTAATAGGTGGAGCAGAAATTTTTGGTTTATTAATACCTTTCATCGTTTTCCATAGCCTGTAATTACTTTGTTTTATAGGCGATAAATTACTTAGTTTTTCCGCTAAACTTTCATTTTTGATGTCTTTAAGTAGTTTTTTTAACCTGTTGCTTAAAGTGTTCAATTTGTTCTTATCTTGTGATGTCCTAGTCATTTTCCAAGTCTTTCGAGCTTTTTTCTTTTAGTAGTTTCCTCATTTCGAGTGGACAATATAATTGTTTGATCGCGTTTGGACCCTTTTCAGTAGAATTTGACCAAGCTTTAGTTGATAAGACCAACCAATTAGTTGAGTTATTAATCAAATTATTTGAAATGGTTTTATATATTATTGTTTCACTAATAGTCATTATCAATGGAGAATAATCCGAATTCAGGGCGAAGTTTTCTTTTAAATTTATGTAATTATCTGACATCTTTTTACTGATCAGTACGTTCGCTTTCCAGAAGAGTGAAATCTACAGTTGATGTCCGTTCCAGCCCGATACAGTACCTCAAATTTCGACTTGCATAATCTAGATCCCCAATATGTATTTTTTGAATTAAAATCACCCCCAGTGATGAAATTATCTCCTAATTCTTTAAACATTTCTATATAGTCTTCATATTTCAGGTTGTGTCTAGGTGGACAATACATTGATGCTATTTTGAACAA